AGCGCCAACTCCTCGCGCCCTTACATAATATCGAGGTTAAGAGAGAAAAGCACTTTATCAGAAATGCACCGTATAAAGCGCCCATCTATAGCGCCCAAGTTCAAAGAGAGAACATTAGTTAAGCAAAAGACAGTGATAAGAACCAAACAAGAGCATCGTCATAGTTAGATGGATAAAGTAGCAGGCGCACAAAAACAAAAATAAAAAAAAAATAAAAAAAAGGTGCAAAGTCTTAAGCATAAGTGCGACTGATGGACGCACGTTTATGGTCACTCGTCCGACCCACTCTCGGAGTCAGAAGAGGAATGATCTTCAGCTTCGTTATTGTCTTCACCATTATCATCCTCAGGCGCTTGCTCATCCACGGGGCGCCCGCTCTCCATAAAAGAAATAACAAACCCCACCATGGATTGGATGTCCCAATCGATGTCAGGGTGATCTGCGGTTAATTTCTTTTGAAGGATCAAAATGGAGTTCAAGGCCGCCTGAGCCTTAAGCGCCTGTCCTGCTTCGGATTTGGCGAAGTCCGCCGACTGAGCTTCCAGCACCTCCTTTTCAACCACAAGCGCCTGCTTTTCCTCCTCAAGTGCCTTAATATCCTGCGCCGACTTCTTATTCTCCCTTGTCAGGCGCTTAGTCTCCTTCCTCAGATCGCCCTTCTCTTGAGTCAGCAAATCAATTTCGCTCCTATAGGCGCCCGCCTCTTTCTCCAAGTCTTCTTTTTCCTTCTCTAACTTGGATACTTGCTCAATGCGCTCCCTCTTCTCGACCTCCAGGCGCCCCTCATAATCTTCTCGCAGCTTTCTCTTCTCCTCATCAACTAACTGTTGAAGGAGTGAAGCATTCTTGGCCACCTCGAACTGAGCTTCTTCGCACATCTTCACCAGTTCTGCTTGACGCCTTTGCGCTGTAGCGAGGTTATCTTGAGCAACGCTAAGGGAGGTGGACGCCTCATGACATGAGGCGCGTAGAGCCTCCCGTTCTAAGAGACCCTTCTTGGCCACGACCATCATCTACATAACAAATGAGCAAGGGGATCATATGCCAATTAGAAGTAAGGTTAACAGATTACTTAGTAAAAGAATAGGAAAGGAAAACTTACGTGGGCGCTTATTCGGCACATTTCACCCCATGGATCAGCGCCTGCCAGGTCAAGGGGCGCCCTAAGCACGTCCCCGGCCGCCAAGGCCATGTGAATCGCGGGGCCACGCTCCAAAGCAGACCTATCGGAGCACTCCACGGTCACCTTATGTTTGGGAGGCTGCAGCCACTTTCGAATTGACTCCGGAAGAGGCGTATCGTCCTCAACCCGGGGCTTCTTACTCGATACATCTTGGGCGCCTGTGCTCTCAGGTTTCCTCTTCATCCGTTGGAGCAAAGGAACGTCATCTTCCTCTACTTCGATGTCTTGAAGTAGGTCGATGGACACCGATGCTCCCTTCGACAGCGGTTCAACAGGCGCCTTGTCACCTTGATCCACGAGGTCTATTCCAACATCAGTTGAGGGGGCGCTCGGAACTTGAACTGGTTTGACCTTTTTGGGGGACTTGTTTTTCTTGCTTGCCCGTCCCTTTCCCTTCACCTCTTGGGCGCCAGGCGCCTGTGAATGACTGGCAACATCCTTATTTCCCTTTGACGAAGCACCCTTCGAAGCTTGGGCGCCTTTAGACCGGCCTTTTTTCGAGCTGGGCGCTACCTTGGCGGCCACTCCCATCTTTGCAAACTGGCTTTTCATAAGAGTAGCCATGGAAGTAAAGTCCGCACCTGCACATAAACGCATGACAATGAGTGTTAAAAAAAAAAAAAAAAAAAAAAACATGTTGTAGGCGCCCACCATCGCGGTAATACTCATGAAGAACAGGAGTCCTAGACGTAGTAGAACTCAAGTCCATAGGGTGCAAGGATATAAGGCGGGCGCCCTCAATTTCCTCGTCCGTCGTCAAGGGCGCCTCTACATTGAATGCCTCTGCGTCGCCAACTGCCCAACCGCGAGTGAATGAGCGCCCACTCTCATAAAATGACCCTTTGCGAGGCTTAATGAAGAAAAAGGCTCTAAACCATTCCCGGCCTAGTTTTGGGGAATCCACTAAGAAATGTCCGGGAATATCAAGGCGCCTTTGCAAGGACAGGCAATTGTCGCTATGAACCATGGTAAAGAAATGGTGAAACAATTTGAAGGTGGGCTCTACGTTATGCTGCCTACACTTCAACTTGAAAAGAATATGAATTAGGAAAACAGAGGGGGACAGGCGCCCAAGCGAGCATCGACATAGCTCGAGAATACCCTCTAGGATGGGATCTAAGGGAAATCGCAAGCCAAATCGAAAATACTCTCGATAGATACCAAGCCAATTAGGGCCGACCACTCCAATCCTTGCCACGCGTGGCGCAGTTGCAAAAGACCAGGCGCGTGGAAGTTGCATAGACACAACCAAGTTCTCCAACTCGAGCGCCTTAATTGTCGATACTCGCAACGGCCCGGCCTCCGCGATGGACATATGGCATGTTTCAAGGGGCGCTTCCCCTGAGGGCCAGGTGTCGGCCCAGAGAACTATTTTCACGGGCTCCGAGGCGCCTGAGTCGGTCGATAGAGGGGACGCCTCCAACTCGGACGATTCAGAAGATCCAGGCGCATGGCCTATAACGCGGATGCAAATAGGGCATAGTCAATTCTTCTATCCTAGATGACTAAGGGCGCATGAGTTTAAAAAAAAAAAAAAAAAAAATGCAGTGAGCGAAACTCACTTGACTTTGGCTGGCTGGGCGCTTTGGTCTGTTTGGCAGGCGCCTCTTCAACCGCAATAGCTTTCCCGCGAGAGCTATTGGTCGCCGCCAACGATGAGGAGCCACCTTCTTTGGATGGCGCCGCTTTGCTCCCACCAGGAGTCCACCCACCCGACTCTCTGTTGGGATCAGGGGAGAAATGCTTCTCCAAAAGTTTGATCACATCGGGCGCCTGGCTATCGGCGGGCGGAGGATTGCCAGAGGGCGCGCCTGGGCTAGGCATTTCGGACATGATGTGGGTTTTCAAAAATGTCGGAGGAAGACGCTCACACAAGCACTCGCACAGGAAAAGAAGTAGGCGCGTAAGCGTGCGGAAAGGGGGGCGCCTGGCCGATAGAGAGAGAGGCGAAGAGAGAGAGGGGGGCGAGCAAATGGTTGGAGTGGGTGGCGGACAACTCCTTTTATAGGAAGAGGAATCCCAACGGTCAAGTATAGGGATGCGTGCCATCCAGTCCTTTCACCTTCCCCGTCCGTTCAAAATTCAAAATTTGAATTTCAATGACCATTGAGAACCCAAAATTCGAATTTTGAATTTTGAATGCGCACGGCGAGGGGGCGGGTATAGGCGCACGAATTAATTCTAACGGTTAAGTATGGGGATGCGTGCCGTCCAGTCCCTTCACCTTCCCCGTCCGTTCAAAATTCAAAATTTGAATTTCAATGACCATTGGGGAACCCAAAATTCGAATTTTGATTTTTGAATGCGCCCGACGAGGGGGCGGGTATAGGCGCACGAAATAATTCCAATCGAACAGGCGCCAAATCGTAAAAAGCGCGTGGGATGATTGGCGAATGGAAAAAAGGCGGGGAAAGAAGTTGGGCGCCTAGTGTAGGCGCACGAATTCATTCCAATCGAATAGGCGCCCAATCGAATAGGCGCCAAATCGTAAAAAGCGCGTGGGATGGTTGGCAGATGGAAAAAAGGCTGGGAAAGAAGTTGGGCGCCTGTATAAGTACGACGGAAGTAATTTACTGTGGAAAGGACTACTCTAGCGTTGTGTATAGTTAGGCGCCCATGCTCAACCATGAGCGCCTAACTGGGGGACAATTGTTGGATAAATATGGGCAAACCTATGGGGGACATGGGCTCAAGAGACTTAATTGGGCCCGGGCCCAATTAAGGACAGGGAAGACAAGGTAAGAATTGGGCCCAAAGCTAGAGAGCCGGGCGCATAACGACAAAATAGACGCGGGGACCATGCGGCTAGGAGGCCAAGGAGCTGAGAGCGTGCCACCTGGAGATGTGGTCCTGCCAGGCGCCTAGGAGTCTGGTCTGGGAGCTGCCACGTGTAGATATCCGACCGTTGGACCGTACCAGGCATTTAATGATGCGCTGACATGGAGCTGGAATCCAGGAGCCTGGTCGGGGCCTCATCGAGTATAAATAGTACTCGGTAGGTAGCATTTAAGCAGGTTGGCTTCTCTCACTAAGAGTTGAAAATTACTTCTCTCTCTAAAAGCAGATTCTGACTCAAGCGTCGGAGTGCTAACGGGCCTCCTTAGCCCACTAGGCGTCTGTTGGTGCAGGGTTTCGGCGCCTATTTACAGGAGCCACATCAGAGGGAGAGGAATTCACGATCGGAGTAACGCGGCTTCAACACAAATTTTAATATTACATATATCTGAATTTATCTGTACTTCTTTATTTGCCCCATCGTTGACTGCACATACCCACATTACCTCTCGTCCTTCTCGAGCCACACTACAAATTAAACTTCCACTCCGCCACAGCAAATCGTTAGCATGTCGTTATAAGTTTAAGAGGGTTTTTTGCAAAGTGGGAGAGGCTGCTATGGAGACAACCACAAAGCTGAGAATTAATTTGGAGCCTGGTCAGTTGGTCAAATGGAGTGATCTCTCCGATTTTTAACCAAGTTGTCCCTGATTTGATCGATTCCGAGTTGAAGAGCAACTGAATCTGCGGCGTGCGATGAGGAACCTGGATCGAGTTGAACCGGTTCGACCAATGGGGTCAAAGATGGATTAACGACCATGCATACCTCTCGTATATTGTGGTAGACTTCACACAAACATCTCATTCCAATCCATTACAAAAGATGGAATGGTTGAGGTGACATTAGGGTATTTAACTACTGATTAAAAGCCAAATCAAACATTAGGAGCTTGTTAGTTAAGTAAGAGGAGCTAAATTAGTGTTGAATTTTAGTGTACCAACATTTCCAATAAAAAGAGGCCAAAAGCCCAAAAACCACGATTCATTCATGGTTGATGAAAGAAGCCCAATCATCTACCAAGCCCGTAGCCGCTTCACAGTCCGGATTAAAAAGATGGAAAATATGATCCTTTCCCTTTGTTTCTACTAACTCTACTCTCAATTTACCATTATGCCCCTCCTCCCTTCTCGACAAACTACGATAGTAAGCCTTCTCTCTGTCGCAGAGAATGTCTCTCTCCGCCACAAAAATCGACACCCGTCGGCACCTCAGATCCTCCGCGCTCGGTGGGGCTCCGCCCACAAACGGGTTGATGTACGGGTCGTCGCAACCTTCGTTCGACGGGAAGACGAACGTCCACCAGTTGTCCACCATCGCTTTCCTCGCCCCGTCCGCCTTCTCTGACCCGATCAGGTCTTTTCCCCAGAAGTAGGGATGGATCATGACCAGGCCGTGAATTTTCACTGCCAGTGAGCTCCGGCTCCGGCAGAGTGCCAAGTGGTGGATTATGTTAGCGCCGGCGCTGTCGCCTGCATGCATATGGGATTTGTGTTAGAACGAAATCATACAATAAAAAAAAATTAAAAAGTAAACAGATATACGTGGTTCACTAATATGATGTGTTAGCTAATTTATGTATAAGATAGATCAATTTTCATATACTTCTGAGAGATACATATAATTACAAAAATTGAGAAAAATATATGTAACACATTCTCCAAATGATCTAACTTTAGACATTCGGCTCAGTGCTATTTTATCTTTGGAAAAAAAAAATGAAGTGTAAAAGTTTAAAACACAAAAAACAAATAATATGAGGTTTGTTTCCTTACAAAATTACTAGAGAAGCTGGTGAAAATAGGGATGAACACACAATACTAATTGATTAGTATGTTGATTCGTCTAGTGTTGATGTTGCTCATTTCAACAGCTACTATGGAGAGAACCTTTTTCAACTATGAAACATGTAAAAGCTGATTTATACAACAAAATGAGCGAAGAGTTTCTCGTTAATTGCTTAACTATTTTATTTGAAAGAAAGTATGTTGTTGGTATGGAAGAAAACTCTATTACTGATGTATTTTCTAAATTAAAATATCGTCGTATACAATTGACATCGTAAAGAAAACTATGGTCATTATATATACTTTTAAGGTATTTAATTTTCTAATGAAATACGTTCAGTGCTCTATTATATCCTGAATCCGCCGCGGGGTGACAACGGTGCATTAATATATGTACTGCTTAGCCGCTATGATCAAACCCTGCTCGTACTCACAAAGAGTCGTCCAACGATCAGAAACCCTCGCTACCTTTCAGCATGGACGGGAACGCATCTCTTATCGTCGATCAACAAAACCAACAAGGAGAGGGAGAATCACAGGTAGCTGCTGCGCTAGAAGATTATCAGTCGAGGTGCTTCCTGAAAGAGTCCCTTCCCCTAGGCGTTGGGTTTAACCCTAGCGGCGCCGAACTGTTGGTACGCAAAGTTGCATGCGAAGACACTTCTACCTTCGATTTCTACACGCTCAGTCCTTTTTAATTTTTAGGGTTCAGTTGGTCCAAAGTAGAGATCTTTGCATTGCGGATCATCTTTAGATTGTAGTCTCGTCGAGATTCCTTTCTGGGTTTGTCAATAACTTTGCTATTATAAAAATATGCAGAGGAACTTACCTCTCTGTTTCTTCTCTGTTCTTCCAATTTTGACCCATGGCAGAGAAGAACATCCATTGTCATAATGATGGGAAGCTGTACCTATTTTCGACCGTGAGAAGCAAGGTTCCGGGTGCAGCCTTGATTGATAGAGGTACCCCAGACGGGCTATGGATGCTGACTTCAAATTGAAAATGGAAGCGGAGTGGCATTAGCAATAAAGCTCACGGGGCACTTCTATGCAGAGGATCATAGTGATGAAGGTGTCGCCTTGAGGAAGAGGGACAAGAGGGCGTTCACCCAGAAGATGATGATGCCATGGAAAATGCAAGAATTCCACGTAAGTGGTGAAAAGTGGGTAAGTATTTTCCTCGCTCTGTTCATTGTCGTTTTTTTTTTTTTTGCCATTCATTAACCAAACTTGAGTTTTCTTATATTACTCTGTTTTTACCACTGATATATAATTTTGTTTGGAATGGCAACGCAGGCGAATATCATGTTGAATGTGGTGCACTACAAAGACGCCAAGCTGAAGATGGTGGATGACAATATAGGATCATCTTTAGGCCTATAATAGCAATGGCGGATGCTATCATCACCTCATCCATTGCTCGATCTCCTCTGTTTCTCCTCAGTTCAAGTTAAAGTTGGTTGGTTTATTTAGTGTTTGTTGATGTTTAGATTTAAACTATTGGGTTGTGGAGGATTATGTTATAGCACTAACGTGAGAGTTCCAACCCTCAGAAAGCCTCACATCCTGACACCTGTCCAAACTCCCCTAAATACCCCTACTGTTTTTACACTTATTACAAGTTTGCCATTTGAATTTTTGCCACATGCCTCCTCCTTTGACACGTTCCACGGCTCATGCTTCTCTTGCGAATTATATCAAAGAAAATCATCGGGGTTTACTGGAGAAAAGTTGTCGAACTTCTGAATCATAGGGGAAAAAGCGAAAAGCCATAGAAACCCAAAGCGGATATGAAACTGGAACATATTCAGAGAAGCATTACAGGTTGTAGCAATATAAAGAAGCCACCACAAGTAGGAACTAGCAAAATTGCTATTTTAGAGAACAAATTTAGATGAAATAAATCGAAAGATAAAAATTAGAAATTCGGGTTATCTGTAAAATGGGGAGTAATGAGCCTCCATCCTTGTTTTAAGGAATCTGATTCAGTCATCAACAATTATATATTTTTTACCTTCTTCGTTGAACAAGCGATAGAGGCTAACATAAAGAAACGCGATAGAGAAGCTGAGAAGGGGGTTGAGATCGATGAACAACGGGGATGACATGCACGATGGTTAGGAGAGCCGCTGATGTTTCAGATCGGCGTAGAGAATTGAGAACAGTTGTATTTTCTACCGAAGATCGGTTCAGAGACAAAGGCATGGCGCAGTGGGAAGAGAGAGAGACAGAGATATAGATAGAAACATGTACGTGAGGCAAGTTCTTCTCTTTTGGCATGACCGCGGTAAGGTGAAAGGACAAAGAGAAAGACGGAAGTTGAAAGAGAGAGGGGGAACAGAGGCGGCAGGTAGAAAACCATTATCTTCTTTCGTTGAATGAGAGCGAACGGAGGCGGCAGGTAGAAACTAGAAAGGAAATAAGGCAGATGCGATGGAGATGAGATTGGGCAAACACTTTCTCAATTATAGGATTGATGCAATATGAATTTTTATGGGCTGGCCCTACGTCCCGAACTACTAAACCGTAGCGGGCTTCAAGCCTTCAAGAAATGAAACAAAAGCCTAATATGACTCCTTTATACCACTGTTAAAATAGAGTTTTGCACGTACACTACTGATGGGATTGCGTCGGTAGCGTTTCTCAGAGACGTCTACGACTTAGCTTTAGGATGGATTAGAAGGTGGTCACAGTTGAAGGATGGGAGACAAGAGATCAAAAGTTGGTTAAACTTTCAGTGGCTGGTGAGCATTTTCGGCGATGGTTTCTCTTACCAGATCGTAACCATATTCTGTGGATCTACGAGATCCTTCGACAAGTGACTATCCACGCTGGTTTGGCCACACTCCAACATGAACATCGTCACGGAGGAAGGTGCAGCAGAGTTTGAGGTTCAAGAAACAAGCATGTCGATCTTTTGAAAATCAAAGAATGAATTTCCTCTAGAAGGTACTTTTATGTCCTAATCCCTCTCTCGAAGCAGCAACGAGAGTGGGAGCGCTTGACGGACAAATTTCAGAAGCTTTTTGTTCCTCCCCAATACTTTGGCTCCGGGCACACTTTCAGGGAGTGTAGGGTTTCGGTTGGCCCTTCCTTTGCTGATATTGTTCACGAAGGCCCTCGGCTTCGTAATGGGAATTGTAGTTTGACGCCTTATGAGTTATGACAATAAAGACTCTATCGTGATCTATGAGAAAGGTGTAAGGGACCGTCTAAGTCCTCTAAAGAGATGTATCTCCATTGAGTTCTATAATGCCAAGAACACTGGACTTCCAGCAGAACTTTACGAAGACTTGATTACTTGGGCCAAGAAGGTGTGGAATCTCAGTAATGAGCACACCTTTTCTTGCAAGAAGGGAGACGTGTGGCTTCTCTCTTCTCACTGAAAGCAATCTGAATCTAGAGTTTCCACCTTAAATCCTTCAAAGGTTTCAACATCATTACCAGATTCTAAAGTGAAAACCTAGAAAGAAGCTTCGTTGTCCAAGGGGGTCTCGTTTGGATTCAAGTCTTTAAGATACCACTCCATCTCAAGAGTTTCGAGTTGTGTAGAAGGATCGGAGACTCTTGTGGCAAGTTCATGGATGATGATTGTAACGACTTGTCCTCTATATGAAAATTTTCCCTAACATATAATTCCTTCAAAGATGTCGATTTCTTACAGATCTTCCCTTTTATGGGCCTCGGTCTTGGGTGTCCTGTCTGCGGACTCGCCGGTGAAGGAATACCAGGGGCCGCGGCGAGGTGTATTCAATCATGACATCAAGCCTCTCAGTGACTGACTCCTCGTCTCATGTGTCCTCGAGGCAGGTTACTGCTCAGACAGCGCAATCAGCCGCCCCTGTTCTCGGGAAGGAACAAAGTAAACCCCTAATACGTGTGTGGATCAGAAAAGAAGGCCCCCTCATGTAGTCTGGGCCCGTTTCCACAAGGCCACTCTACTCTCTCTTGCCTTAAAGAAGTTTAAACTCCCTTACCTCATTTTCTCTTTCCCTCCTCTAGGCCTGGAGAGCCCAATCCGTCCCCTCCGTTCCCCCATCCTAACCCAATCCAAACATTTCCCTGGGTCTTCCTTTTGTGTCCTTGCCAGCCCATTTCCCCTCTGCTCGACCCCAATCCCAGTTTCGTCCCTTCCCTTTGAGCTCGACCATCTCTCTGTCCCTATAATCCCGCACATTCTGCCCCTCCCTCCCATCCCTTCCAGAGACCTCCTTGCTCCCTTTCCCGATCATTTACCCATAAATCCCAATCCTCCGTTGAGCCTTCTTCTCCTACCCAGTATGTGGAGCTCGAATCTTTCCCTTTCTGCGTCCTGGAAGTTCTTATTTGAAAAAGCTTACAAATTCAAAAACTCCATGACCTCATCACTGATGGTCCAGTAAATGACTAAGAGTGCTATATTGAAGAAATTGCGGTGGCCAGCAGATTGACAAAGAGGAGGGAGCCAAGATAGAAAATCCAAATGGAGAGGCATATGTTGGTGAAAACTGCAGAAATGTCTCAGCTAGAGGTTACAGGTATGCTTTTAAGGATTTTAACCCATGAATCGGTCTTTCTTTGCTTGGAATGTGAGGGGGTTAGGCTATAATGATAAGAGGGCCAAGAATAAATGTATTATTAGATGATGGCATCCAACCATTGTCGGTCTCACGGGAACCAAATGGAAAAATGCTCGCAACACTTGGTTAGTTCGGTTAGCAGAAGCGGATTCTCGAATTGGATTTCTAACGATTAGATCGAGTTTTGGGGTGGTATTTTGATTTTGATTCCTCTTGAATAGGATAGGAACAAAGGAAGGAATCAGCCTTGCCATTGTACACTTTGCCATGGGCATAAGTAATAGTAATCTCATATGCCGTCGGAGAAGAATCCCAAACAAAAGAGTCGTCACAATTCAACACTTGTTGGAACGAGGAAGGCGGTGGTGAAGGGTTCGAACGGAAACCCCGTGGCTTAGAATGAAGATGTGTCATAAGATGGTCATGGGTACCCGTACCGTCTCTAGAGATTCCTCCATATAGCCATGAAATCTTGACCTGACACTATCAACGTAGAGGTCAGGGTTGGGGCCAAGTGGTCAAACACAAATGCACGTGCAAGCCAAGTATTCCATACACAGGGAATCATTGATTTCATTAGTGCTTCACAAATCGGGCACTTCAGGTTAGGCGCACATCTTCTCGAGAAAAGCCTCTCCCTTGTAGCAACTGCTTTCTTCGAATACTTCCAAATAAAGTATCTTATTTTAGGTGGAAGATCAAGATTCCACAACCACCTCCAATCATGTTGATCCGTAGTGTCACTTCCTTGTAAACTTTGTTCCACCAGTTGGTCAAGACACTCTTGGAGGGCATGGTATGCTGATTTTGCTGTATAATTGCCCATTGGATTGTATTTGCAAATCAATTTTTCACTTCCTTCAGCTGGTCCAACAGATATTCGCATGATAGCCTCTATAGTAGCCTCATCACAAACTTCCCAAATCACCCTGATGTCCCAAGATCGATCATCTTGATGAATCCAATCTGACACTTGGGAAGGGGGCAAGTCAAGGTGTCTCAATGAGAATGATGGGATAGATTGTATACATGGGTAACTGTGAAAGTAAGATTGAGCCCTTGACATTATTCCCTTGAGAAAACCACATTTAAGAGACTCCTTAGTCTCACACGGCCCACTCCAAATCCATGAACCACACT